AGTTACTGATACACAATAGAGATTATCTAATTAATTTATATTTATATAACATGATTAATTTGGCAGTTGTTTTTCTACTGACATGTAATTGTAAATGTCTCTCTACTTTGCAGTAGTCCTAAGTTTGAAAATACATTTTTGTGTTGCCGTTAGTTGTTTCATTTCATACAACGATTTATTGGTTGTCTTATTTCCGTTTAAAATGTCGTCAATAAAAGAACGTAAAGGAAATAACCCTGGGTAAAAATTACTTATGATGACATCGTGCTTCAGTTTTCTGGAGAAAAAAATATTATTCTAATGATGATTTTCACACATTTCAGTGTTTAGTTTTGTGTTAACAAAATCATAATTATGTAGTTAATATTTCAACCAAACTTGGTGAAGCATAAAGACAATTGTTTTCTCAATGAAGGAAGGGGGGGGGGGGGTTAAATTAAAAAAAAAATCAGTATCTTATTATATAACAAAGTAATTGGCTAATATTTATATTATTTTGAACGGTAAAAATACCACATCAGGCATTGTTTGGATCCAAATACCAGATATAAATTACATAAAATATTATTTCAGTAACTGTTTAATCAATTTTACCGCATCTAGTGTGAAACTTTCTTGAAAATATTGTTTCAGTAACTGCCTGATGCCCCCTAGTGGCACAGCGGTATGTCTGCGAACTTACAACGCTAGAAACCGGGTTTCGATACCCGTGGTGGGCAGAGCACAGATAGCCCATTGTGTAGCTTTGTGCGTAACTACAAGCACAAGCAAACTGCCTGATGCCCCCCAGTGGCACAGCGGTATGTCTGCGGACTTACAACTCTAGAAACCGGGTTTCGATACCCGTGGTGGGCAGAGCACAGATAGCCCATTGTGTAGCTTTGTGCGTAACTACAAGCAAACTGCCTGATCTAATTTTACCATATCTAGTGTGAAACTTTCTTGAAAATATTGTTTCAGTAACTGCCTGATGAAAGCTACACAATGGGCTATCTGTGCTCTGCCCACCACGGGTATCGAAACCCGGTTTCTAGCATTGTAAGTCCGCAGACATACCGCTGTGCCACTGGGGGGGTTTAATAATGTTACGTATCATTCAGTTTCCTTTGACTACAAATAACATACTCCTGTTTAATAATGTTACGTATCATTCAGTTTCCTCCGACTACAAATAATATACTCCTGTTTAATAATGTTACGTATCATTCAGTTTTCTCTGACTACAAATAACATACTCCTGTTTAATAATGTTACGTATCATTCAGTTTCCTTTGACTACAAATAACATACTCTTGCTGATAAGCGTGACGTATCAGTCTGTTTCTTCTAACCAACTACGTATAATTTACTCGAGCTTATCAACGTGACATTTCAATCTGTTTCCATTGTCTGTTTACAAATAATGCACTCCAAATTATCAACGTGACATTTAAATCTGTTTCCATTGACTGTTTACAAATAATGTAACCCAAGTTCTTAACGTGACGTTTCAATCTGTTTCCTTTGATTGTTTACAAATAATCTAACCCAACTTTTTAACATGACGTATTAATCTGTTTCCTTTGACTGTTTACAAATAATTTACTCCAACCTAGTAACGTGACGTATTAATCTGTTTCCTTTGACTGTTTACAAATAATCTACTCCAACATATTAACATCACGTATCAATCTGTTTTCTCTGCTAGCTATAGATATTCTACCTCATCTTTTCTTTTTAATATAACTTTATCTCTTTACATAAGTTAATAGTTGAAAAAATTAACTATTTGTAGCTTCCAATGGAACACAGTGTAATGTGGAAAACTTCTTTCATACATTTTATTAACTACTTGTTTCTAGTTTTACTGTAGTTGTGAAAATAAACTTTTATTTTATGTGTAACCTACGTATTTATAAGATTCATATAGCAAAATTAATACAACTTATGAATAACATTTGAACATTTACACTTTAGCTATTCCAATAAATTTACTATTAACGTTTATCTAATTTGTTTCTTATTTCTACCGACAGATGGAAAGTCAGTATGGTGAAAACTTTGTTAGTGCAACAGTTGTTGATATCGAGTATGTATAAACTATGTTCTTACCCGTTACTCTTTTATTTATATAGATTGCACACGTTTAACTTTCAATAAAATATACATCTAAGAGGATTTCCACTTCGAAGTTTTTATTCAAGCTTAGCTCTCGCAATACGTCAACTAAAAGTAGAACATTGACCTCTCCAAACTAGAAGTAGAAGACTAAGCCTAACCGACAATAAAAGTAACATACCGTGTCAAAGTGGTTGTCATAATTTACTTGAGATGAGAAGTTCTTTAGACTTTAGAAGCTGGTAGACTCAAACAAATAAGATGATGACATGTTTTGTCGGGTAGACTGCAGTAGCAAAAGATAATGCCTTTTGCTATCTGTAAACTCCCTTCAACAGTTTTAATAATGCAAACTGCCTTCTGCTATCTGTAAACTCCTTAAACAATAGTAATAATATGAACTGCCTTCGCTATCTGTAAAATCTTTCAACAGTAGTAGTAATGTAGACTGTCTTCTGCTATCTACATTAGTTGACCATTTCGGTAGTGTGACCAGACAGACAGATATTAGTTGACCATCTCTGTAATGTGACTAGACAGACAGGTATTGTTTGTTGTTTGTTTGTTTGTTTGTTTTTAATTATGCACATTCTTCACCAACATAGCAAAGTTTCTCTATTCTACCTGAAGATTGACAGCATAAGAAGGTATGTGCAGTTTTATCTATGAAGTTCTTAAGAATAGTGACTTCCTTGAGGTTAATGTCAAGGCTAAGTTTGTTTACAGTTTGTCTATGTGATTATTTTAATCTTACTGTAATGTTTCGATTTATTTTAGCTATAAATTATTGTGACAAAGATCCGTCCTTGTGCTCAGAAAACGAGGAATGTCAGAAGGGACCAGATGATAATCCCAAAGCTGTATCATGTCTTTGTAAACCTGGATACGAAAGAAATGAACAAAACATTTGTACCTGTGAGTATTTTAATGTTAAAATTACAAGTTTCTGCGTGTCATACTGGGAATGCAAGCTACGAATATTGTCGGCATTTATAACACATGCTTGTTCATTTTTTCACTTTTTACAAAATGAAGCTTTTTTGTACGTTAGTGAAACACTGATTGTATACATGTTTACTAAGTATCTCTCATGGTTTGACAAACAATGATGAATTGTGACATTTTTACAAATGCTTACTGGTTATATCTGAGAATATAACAAAACAATGTTTCTTTCATTATGATGTCAGAATTAGCAAGCTTAAAAATCTGGAGGTTCTTATGAGACTGTTATCTGTTTTATTTATGTTTATCAAACTCAGTCGTTCTATGTGAATCTGGGAACAACCACTGTAGTGAATTCGAAAAATGTTCAGAGGACAAGGACGGCGATAAACTGTATCTTTGTGACTGTGTTCTCCCCTATAGTCTGAAAACCAATGAAACTTCATGTGGTAAGTAAACGTTATTTCGTGATCAGGTCATCTGTAACCACGTACGTGTAGATTTAAAAACAATTAGTTGAATTATATCTGTTTTGTTTGTGAAGTCATAAATACCGGTTTATTGTGTATTTGGATGCTAGAATATTACGCTAACACTGTTAATTGGTGAAAAATCTTGACTTCTTGTCGTCGAAGTGTCAGTGTATTCTAGACGTGTTAAAATTACGAATAACTTGTTTTAAATGTCATGTCATACCGTTTAATGTTTTAGACTACTCAAGCAGTTAGATGTTACCTTTACAACTAGAGCATCCGCTTCAGTGTCTAGCGAATTTATTCGTATTTAATGTTGGATAACTTCTGTAGTCTTGTGGAAAATGGATAACACTCCCTGTTATTGAACAGTGATATTAAATATAGGTTTCATCCCAGAATCAACCAAGCTGCTACGTGCCAGGTATTCTAGTCTTGAGTCGACCAAACCGCCACGTGACATACGTTTCATCCCAGACTAGACCAAACTACACTGAGTAAATGTAAAAAGGTTCTTCAAAGCAGACTTATTAAATATGACACGTGGGGTGTAATAGTTCGGTTATTATTGTTGATACAATTATTTTATAATAGTATTTAACATTAGTTAGAAATTATTATTGGCTATTGCTAATGATAATTATTCATTGAGTATATAATTATACTTTAAAATATAGTATGAAAGACAAATGTAATTTGTTTGACCAAACAATGACTTACATAATTTATTGACATCACGGGAATAGAGCCCCCGATTTTAGAGTTGGAATACAGTAAAACAATTTAATAAGATGATCAAAATCGTAACAAACTTTTAAGAGGATGATGTGTAAGATTACTGGCACTGTCCAGAGGTCCTAGTTTTAAACATTGGTCTCTGTGTCTCTTCTTCACGTAATAGTATATATTAGAAAGTGTCATTTCGTTGATTCCTAAAGGGTGTGTTTTAGTTGTGATTCCAAACGTTTACTTACTTCTCAATGAAAGAGTTGACGGAGTTAACAAATCATGTTACATTTAGTAACTATTCATCTGTTTCAGGTTATTTCGAACTGTTTTAGACATGATTACAGACGTTTACTTACTAGTCAATGAAAGAGTTGACGGAGTTAACAAATCATGTTACATTTAGTAACTCTTCGTCTGTTTCAGATTATTTCGAACTGTTTTAGACATGATTACAGACGTTTATTTATTTCGATCTTTCATTAATCGAATAGTTCTCAAAGATGGAGTGAGTTGCACGAACAATAAGACAAAGTGTGGGAATGGAGGAGAATGTAAATTGTTTGAGGGAAAAGAGACGTGTATTTGTAAAAAAGGCTACGAAGAAGAAGGTGGAACATGTGTAGGTAGGTTTAAATACTCTTTATTAAAGATAAAATAGTTTGTTTCTGTTATATAGTGGATCTAAACAGTATGTTTACTATAAAACGTCCAATATGTAATATATCAGTTTATTGTGTGCTTTGTATTCAAATCATCTGTAACAAACTCCGAACCAAACAATTAATTATTCGAATAAAAGTTCACATGGTAACATTTCTTTTTAACGTTCAAACTTCATTAGAAATAAGAAGACCATTTGGGGCTTCAATCCAACTGACAGAGACAGGATTAGTTGTGTTGGTACAAAACAAAGTGGGTCAGGATCAGTCTTACTATGTCGTTACACGACATAAAGTTGGTGTTGGAAGAAGTCGATGCTCGACAAAACGAGTCAAGATCGCTTGTCTAACTAAATCGTCACACCACACATACAGTTAGAATCAGTTATTTCGTCATGTCAGGACAAGACAGACAGAAGTGGAACTGGACAACGTTTTACTTTGATACGAATGGGTTAGATTAGGTTTACTTTGATACAAATAGGTTACGGTAAAACTTTATCCTTCAAATTCAACGCTTTTGCATTGTAGAAAAATAGAAACATGACATTCTTCAATAATAAAATAATAGTATAAACGATACAATACAAACGTCTACGTATAAAACTCCTATGAATTAAAGTGATGATAAATTCTGGAGAACTTTACCTTGATCAGCACTAAGGTGTGTGTTATATACTTTATAAAGTTAAATATATATATATATATATATATATAAAGATCAGCACCAAGGTGTGTGTTCTATACTTGATAAAGTAGCTAGATATAAAGAACGGAACTAAGGTACGTGTTTCATACTTGATAAAGTGACTTGTATAGATCAGCACTAAGATACGTGTTTTATACTTGGTAACTTGACCTATATAGATCAGCACTAAGATACGTGTTTTTACTCGATAACGTGACCTCTATAGATCAGAACTAAGATTTAACTTCTGATTATATATAAGCTGGCTGTATAGATGAGAAGTAAAATCTAACTTCAATACTTTTGACTTACTTTAGCTAATGATATATTTGAACTAAAACGTAACTTACACAAAGTGAGAGTGATTTAATGTTGTTAGTACAGGCTCTAAGTTAGAGTAAATTATGATTAGTTATTTTTCCAGAATATTCTATATATGTGTGTAAAGTGAAAGTATACTGAACGTTCACGATTTAAAATGAACAATTTCGAGATTTGTTATAACTTTGATACTTTAGTTTTAAACCACATAATTTTGCCAACATATCAGACCATTATTCCTGTAGTAATGGAAAATATTGTTTTATAAAAATCATAAAATATAATTCATGAAAATGATCCATTATTTTTATAGTGTTATATATTTTGATCTCCTCTGTCGTTTTTTTTATTTATTAGTTCTAACTTAATTTATTAATAGCTTTTAAATTTCTAAATGCAAACTAATTTTAGTGTACAGTTCAGGAGATTGAAAATTTTCAATACAATATATATAACATGATACTTTGTTAATTTTAGAATATTGCCAAAGTAAGAAATGGAAAGACAATCCATCGTCGACAGCCATTTGTCCTACTGGAAAGTGTGAGCTTACAGACGAACGTAGAATAAAATGTGTGTGTGAGCCATCGAGCAAGTGGGAACAAGCGGACGATGGGATATCATGCAAATGTGAGTGGTGTCGTTTGATATATATTTAAAATTAATAACGTTTTTCCTCTTTAGCTTAACAAAATAAATGTAGGGACTATGTCGGCAAACTTACTTTATATATTGTGTATATATAGTAAGTAAATATATAGGTGTGTTGTTGTTGGGCTTAGAATTCTTCTAAAGTAGATTCTGTGACTTGTTGGCGATAAATTCAAAAATAAACGAACAGCACTCATTTCACTTGTTTTCAAAATAATATAGATATATTCGGAACTAGTTAAACGTATGTACAACAAAGTCTTCACACTATACAGATTATATATATATATACAGAAATATATATATATATATTTCTCTTCTTCTTGTCAAAAGTCCACTTAGGCCTATTCAATTACTTTAAAATTTCAGTTGACAAGCCGACATATTTTTCTCTGTTACTATCGCCAAACTATCCGAGCATAGCTCACTTACTTTATTGTCGAGTTACCACGGTTGTATCCTATACTTATAAAATCATCTGCTCCTTTTTCTTTCTTTGTATTTCCGAGAATCGTCTATCTATTTGTCAAAATCTGCTAAGGCTAGTTCAATAACTTTAGAACTCTCTTTGACGAAATAAACTATTCTTCTTATCTTTTTCAACACCGCTAGTTTCACTCTAATATATCAACCGTTAGGCCTATATTAATCATTAGGCCTTCCGCTCCTACCACGATTAATTTGCGTTTAACTTTGCTGTTGCCGAATTCCTTCTCGTAACTTTACTTTACTTCTCGTCTGCTCTGTTTTTGTCTGTCTATCTAGTTTCCCTGCTCATCTCACACTATTTATATGTTTATTACTTAATCGTCTGCTCCCTATATCCTCTACATCAATACATTTCACGCGATGTTCAATAATCTCGACATCAATGAGTTATAAAAACAACGTACGACTCTTACCAATTTACGTAACTAAACTTGCCATAACATTTACTTTAAAATAATTGCTTCTAACTCTCTTGTTATGAGCAAAACTAAGCAATCATAAAACATTCACTCACAAAATAAATTAATTAATAACAACTACACGAAACAGTTTTTTATATCATGACAGGCTATTTCAACAATTTATTAAAATCAAACTTTTGGTAATTACTTTGTGAAGCCTTAGTGTTTGTTAAATTTTTATTGAATTATAACCCTCAAAACTTTCATTCCTTTACTATTTGATTTTGAATGCTACGTTTGACCACAAGTGTCTTAACTTGTGGTCAAATGTAGCATACAAGATCAAAATTAAACATCAAAAGAAGAATGCAAGTTTTGAGGGTCACTATAGTTCTGACTACTGCTTCTAGGTGGTTTCTTTTGTTAAACTTTCTTTAATTGTGATATTGTTCCACAGTGAAACCTTTGTGTGACAAAGGAGAAGTTGGTGAAAAAGAATGCTCATCTCGTAGCGCTAAATGTGAAGTTAGCCGAAACTATGAAAAAGGTTACCAGTGCCGCTGTCCGGAAGGGACTGAAGTGGACACAAATGGGAAGTGTAAATGTAGGTTTATTAAACAAGTCGTTGATTATGTTCTTACACGCACTTCTGTACGAGTAGTGTCTCTTCTGCTACATGATAATCGTTACATTCTTCTGACACTTGTTTTATGTAATTTACGATCGATCGTTGTTTTTAGTGGGGTAGAGAATAATTTATAATTTACAAAGTGAAATCTTCCTGTCAATACCTGTAAGTTGTTACTGGTGTAAAATAAGCTAACAAGAATGTCATTTGTTATTAACATAAAGAATAAAGTTTGTTTTGTTGTTATGGAAACGAAAACATGAATTTGCATATGTAGCAGTGATTGGATTATCTAAACTTTATCGATGTCTACTATTTAAGGACTGACTTGTACTCTTCTCTGTACAAATAATAATAATGAAATGGGTATTATATCATGTTGTGTCTGTCGGATCTGATATTATAAAATGTTTTTTTGAATAAGTAATTAATTCTAAAATCCTTCAGAGTAATTGGATTATTCAATCTTTGTTTTATTCAGCACTCTGTGATTTTGAAAAGTATATACAAACGTGCAAAAATCACTACGCAGATTGTGTTGTGGTGGATGGTAAAGCAACATGTGAGTGCAAGCCTTCTTTCCTGGACTATGATGGGAAACCTTGTAAATATGGTAAGTATAATTATGATCACTTTATTAGAATCCCTGTGTATTATCTATTTACAGAAAACAACTACAACGTTTTGTATGAAATGTATTTGGCATTTTAGTTTATTTATTGTTTAAAATCTATATAAAAACGCCTTATGTATTTTTTGTCCTCGTCATATAATATCAAACTGTAATTCTTCAACCAAACTATCATATTCTATATGTGTTGTCCTGTTTTTGAGACGTTTCTCAGTATGTTATAGTTGATACGATAGTAATAAAACTTGTGTAAGTTATCATAGACACTCTGCTCTTCCCACGTGACATCTTTATAAACTTAGTTTGGATCGAGCATGACCTAATGGTTAGCTTGCCCATACCGTAACACAGAGACTTATTTATTGGCTTCCTTTTGTCGTAAAACACGTGCTGTGGATGCGCAATAACATTATTGCTTAAATTCCACTATTCAATTAGACAAGAGTAACGCAAAATTGGCGGCGTATGCTGGTAAATATTGGCCTTCATTCTTTAATCTTTCACTTCGAAATTGTGGAAGGCTATGCGCAGATAGCTCTTATGTAACTTTGAATGAAACGGTGAAACAAACAGAGAAATTTAATTTAAGTTTATAAAGAGTTTCTATGTTATTATGGAATCGTGGATATGCTTATTTAGTGAGATGGTGTGGAATTTCTTCCCATTTGATATACTTTATATTACTATAGCTAACGTTTCATATAAAATTATTAAATTATTTATTTTATTCTGAATCCCACGTAATTTGTAATATCCATATTTTAAAACTATCGTCGGTATGTTGTTACAGCTAACGTTACATATGCTGTATCTCTGCGTCTTCCGAATCTCGAGCTTGCGAGAGTTAAACGAGAAGCTGTTGTTACTTCTTACTCTGATCCTGGGATCCACAGATCAAAGCTAAAAAAAGTCGTGGATGATGCGGTAAGAAAGTAAATTATGGCTGATTGATAAGAGGGATAATAGCGTATATATGTGTATATATGTTTTACACCGATTATAACTCTAATTTATTCGTTTTCTAGTTCTTCTTTTTTAAAAAGCACTTCTACTCTGTTTGTCCCAGTTACAAACACTTTATTTTCAAAGTGCTTTTACTTATTCTTCTTGTTAGATAAACAAAATATATGTAAGTAAGTATTGGTAAAAGAGGCAGATTACGGTAGAATGCTTATATTCAACAATTGTAAAACTTCCCATTAAAGTTTAGAAAAACATTCTGTGATTGAAAAACTTCTCGAGAACGAAGATAAATTTACATACGATAATTGGAAGACAGGATATCAAATAATATGTAATTATTACACAAAACATCTTTTGAGCAACTCAGAAGTTTCACTAAACATTCATCTCAGAATTAGGCAACCCACTAATAAAGAACCACCTGAGTAGCTCGGAACAACTACCACAAAAAATAACTAACTGACTATCGTAAGAAAATCTGAAAAACTTTATGTGCAATGAAGAAACTTCAGCGAAATATATTATTTTAGAATTTTTGTTCATTTTGCAAAAATACTTGAAAATAATAACCATTGTTATTTCTATCGTTATGAAATGAATACAGTGAAAAATATTTATTTCTGTAACATTGCAATTATATTATGTGAAAGAGTCACGTGTAATAAGTAATTGACGTGAAGATATCAAGTCATTGCACAATTTAGTATCGTTACGGTTTCCTTCTGAACTATTACAAATTTACACCAATAGATGGCAGCAAAGCGTGAATATGTTATACTGTAATTAGTGTATGATATACTGTATAGGCCGAGTACTATCCTATTTACGTAGATAAGCTCTAACGTAACATACTTGTAACTTATTCTTCCAATTAGAACTTCCATATTGTTACGAATTTTTCTCAGCGATTGGTCAAGCTAACATCTATTATACAAATGTATACAAATCAATTGTAGCATCCACGGAAAAATAGGACTTATAACATTAAAAAATTATTAATAAACAGTACAGAGTGAAAGATTACCAGTGATCTCTAGGAAAATGTTTTACTTAATTAAATGCAATGAATAATGCGAACTTATACTAGTTTGGCTGTTTTATAGATTTAAGTTAGTTCTTTGTAATGAATACATCTTACATGAAAATCACATATGTATATCATAGCTAAATTTGTGGTCTTATAACTAAATCCTTATTCAACTTGGTAGACAAGTATACTAAACACACGTGGAAATGAAGTGAGAATAAAAATTCCAATTATTTTCTGTTTAGCTCAGCAATATGTGAAAACCTATACAATTTTGCTAGCACAGAAAATGCTTTACAGAGATTTTGTTGTGAATATACTATTTCAAGATTCACACTTCTTCTAATGTATATATTCAAAACGCTTCATGTGAAAACAATTAGTGTAAAATACATTGCGAATGAAAAGTATTGCCTGGTAAACCATCATGTAACACAATGTTTGCTACCACGAAGAAAAGTTATTTTAGAAATGCATTCAAATCTTGTTCGACATTTATGAGTTAAATGGTAGTAGAAGTGTATTTCTTTTCGATTGTCCAATCCAATATGAAGTAGTAGTTTAAGTTTTGAAAGTGATTGATAAGTCAATTGTTGTATATAGCTGTAAGAAATAATGTAAAATTAAAATGTTATTTACATTTAATTAATGGATATATCTCTATAATATTTTTCCTTATCCAACTCCTTATACTGGTTTGGTTGTTTCCAGTGAAAAACTCAAACCTCTATCTCAACATTACTGTTAATTTTTTAATGTAACTTTTTTACTTGTTACGTATCATTCCGTTTTCTTTGACTACAAATAACATACTCCTGTTTAATAATGTTACGTATCATTCAGTTTCCTTTGACTACAAATAACATACTCCTGTTTAATAATGTTACGTATCATTCAGTTTCCTTTGACTACAAATAACATACTCCTGTTTAATAATGTTACGTATCATTCAGTTTCCTTTGACTACAAATAACATACTCCTGTTTAATAATGTTACGTATCATTCAGTTTCTCTGACTACAAATAACATACTCCTGTTTAATAATGTTACATATCATTCAGTTTCCTCTGACTACAAATAACATACTCCTGTTTAATAATGTTACGTATCATTCAGTTTCCTCTGACTACAAATAACATACTCCTAGGACGTTGATGTGTACATAAAGAACTTGACTTGTCCATAACAGACTGTTTGGAAACCGTGATAAACAGTCTTGTCATGAACATACGTTGATGTGTACATAAAGAACTATATGTAACAATTGTTTAATAATGGACTAAGAACCAAGTAGTTCAGGTTGTAGCTACTAGTCTATGTGGTATATGTAACAATTGTTTAGTAATGGGTTATCAACCAAGTAGTTCAGTTTGTAGCTTCTAGCCTGTGTGGTATATGTAACAATTGTTTATATATTTAGTTGTAGTTCATTGTCTTAGTGTTGGTTAGGTTAGGTTGAAGTTAATATTTAAAAGAATAAAATTCTTAACTATCATTAAAACTTTTTAATTTCTACATTAGTTCAATCGATAGCGATCGTAAACACTAGAAAACGAACAGCCATTCGGCTTTCAATGTGAACTTATACGATTGTGTGGAAAACCTTAAGGTGTTTTAATTTCAAGAATATTTCAAAGTAAATTAGTCATAAAGTAGCAGTTTAGTTAAACTAAGAAATAAAATACAAAATAAAGTTCTAAACTCATTACACTTTATAAGTACATAGAGTTGCCACGAAAAGGCTTGATCAAGGATTCTACTACGTTAATCTGTACACAAAGAACCTAATGTGTTCATGACAAGACTGTTTTTCAGGGATTCCAGAACGTCAATGTGTACATAAAGAACTTTACTTGTTGATAACAGAACTGTTTATCAGAGATTCCAATGCGTTGATGTGTACATGAAAAACCTGACTTGTTGATAACAGAACTGTTTATCAGAGATTCCAGGTCGTTGATGTGTACATAAAAAACCTGACATGTTCATGACAACACTGTTTATCAGAGATTCCAGGATGTTGATGTGTACATAAAGAACTTGACTTGTCCATAACAGAACTGTTTATCAGAGATTCCAGGACGTTGATGTGTACATAAAAAATCTGACTTGTTCATGACAAGACTGTTTATCACGGTTTCCAGGACGTTGATGTGTACATAAAGAACCTGACATGTTCATGAAAAGACTGTTTATCACGGTTTCCAAGTAGTCTGTGTGGTTTAACAATTGTTTAGTAATGGGCTATCAACCAAGTAGTTCAGGTTGTAGCTACTATGAACCACACAGACTAGTAGCTACAACCTGAACTACTTGGTTGTTAAGTCCATTATTAAACAATTGTTATATAAACCACACAGACTAGTAGCTACAACCTGAACTACTTGGTTGATATCCCATTACTAAACAATTGTTATATAAACCACACAGACTAGTAGCTACAACCTGAACTACTTGGTTGATAGCCCATTACTAAACAGTTGTTATATAAACCACACAGGCTAGTAGCTACAACC